CCTGACCATATCGACACATCGCGCGCAGGGGCTCAACATGATCTCCTCTTCTTTGGGATCTCGCCAGTGGGCCGCCCCCTGCGCGCGATGTGTCGATATGGTCAGGATTACGGTAACCCCCTCTGGCGGTGGGTGGCGAGAGAGATCAAAGGTACTGATATTTGCCCCTAGGCGATGGAGAACACCCGCCAATTTCCCTCAGGCTAAGTAGAGGACCTATAAAAGAAAGACTGAGGGTCCAGGAGTCGTCCTGCAGTTTTTGAGGTTTTTTTAAGCTTGGTCTACGCTCTCCCTCTCTCTCTCTTGCTGGGGGGTCTCGCCTGGGTTTTCTCCCTGCTCCTGCTCCGCTCCAGCTCCAGAAGCTGGATTGATCTTCTTTGTATATAGGCTAGATTGTACTAACTATTGTTCTCATCCGTTGTTGTCGTTTTTTTGTTCCTAATAAATTTATTTTTTTCCGTCGTGTGGCGTCCATTCGAAGGAGTCAATCACACCTGGGACTATCCCAGGTTGTACAATTCACCATAGTTTTATCATAGTTCGCAGTACATTGATGATGCAATGGTCGTTGGTCCTAGTAGGATGTCAATGGCGTGATAGAGGGACGCCCGTAAGAGCAGTTATCCTTAGGTAGGGAGTGAGGACAGGGCGTAGGTGGAAGGGTAGTAGGTATATGACCGTAGGGTACATATAGCGCAGGGGCAGTAAGGGCCTACCGGTAGCGCTTAGCTCCTTAGCACCCGCGTGGCAGCACCGTGACGAGCATGGGCAAGCGTTCGTAAGTCCTCTGCAAACCTCGCGCCGAGGACGGATCCTTTCCCCTCCAGACACCGATGCTAGGTCAGAGGGGCCTGACGACCTGGTAAGACGCCAGGCGTGAGGGGAACAGGAAGCCGCCCCCGGCACGACAATCTGAGATGCCGAATAATCGCGGGTTCTGCCTTCAAGTTGATTGAACACAAAAGCAAAATGAGTAGAAAATGTTTATTTTATTTTGAAAACAGTAGAACTTGATCCCTCACAGAATGTAAGCACATATGCTCGTAAAGCAAGGGTTTCTCTATCAAATGGTAAAAGATTAGCGGCGGAGCGCTTCTCCTTTTACGCAGTGTTCCGGTTCAGGGTGAAACGTCGTTACTCGTGGGCTAACTCGATACTGCTTATATTGTGCATATTTTGTCCAGGCATAACGACGTATACGGGCGAGATTCGTAGCCCTTATGCAATGTTCTTCAGCATAAGAAAAACAAAGAATTCAGACTGGGGTGTGGTAAAAGTAGTTCATTCCATGATGCGAGCCAAACGATAGTCGCCAGCGATATCAAATCATAAGTGATCATCGAGGAGTCGCCCAGAATCTGTCCGAGCAATATCGATAGCGTCAACCGTGATGCGTCGAAGATCACTGAGTAACGACTGCAACAAGTTTACTAGACGAAATGAGCTCACCATCAGATATGCTAATATTGAAGACAAGCAGTACACTTACCTCCCAGGACGGTCCCTCTTAATTTTGACGTGAATGGATCCGCAGTTGCAGTGTTGTTCCAGTTTTTCCGTCCAAAAGTGCACTGGAAGGGGGCTGGGGGTAGCGATACCAGGAGGATCTCCTCCAGCCCCGTCCTGAGAGGCAGATCCTACGAAAACTTGACCTTCGTAGGAAGGGGCAGTGTTGACTGCTACGAACAACCCGGTATAAGTCCCACTTCAGAAAATGGCAAGCTAGCGGCGGCCAAATCGCAACGTTCTATACGAAGCTTTTTCAAGGAAAACAGGCAAGACGTTCTATACGAAGCTTTTTCAAGGAAAATATGGGGCCCTCTCAAAGAGCTAGAAATCCCGTTTAAAAACGCTGAAAATCGAGTATTTGCACTAGCATAGCACGAAAAGCTCATTTCAAGTTGCAGATAAACCCTCCTTTTTGACTTCATTCTTGAATTTTGCAAATATTGGGGAAAACAAGGCTCTATACATTAGGTCTATTGTACTCGTGTGGACCGAACTGAACCAGTGCTCGAGATTTTGCGCACTGAAAAGGCTATATCGTCCGAAAATGACATCGAGCAAACCCCTCTATATCCAGAAAAATCGGTACCAAAATGATCAGCATCATTTGGGAAACACAGCTATCTAATTTTTAATCACTTCTTACGCGATACAGCACGTTATTTGAGTCCTGAATGATTTTCCCAACGATTACCCTCTGGTTACAGTTATAGCGAGATTCGCTCGCTAACGAGTGTCTTCAGGTACTTCGATGGAAAGCAGATTTCAATATTTGACTTTTCAGTTTTTTAGGACATCATCTCATAGAACTCGACGAGCTGGTCTAACAGCGTTTGCGACGGATTAATCCGTCGCAAACCGTCGATTATACAAAAATTAGGGGCGGTATTGTATGTTAGCTCGCGAAACGGTAGCTGAAAAGTGTGGGATGTGGCAGTTCTTACTCATAAACCCTCCGTTTTAGAGCATCAATGCCATTCGCTCAAAACAACGGATACTTTTTAGCCGACCAAAAATTATGGCGAAACGCGAGAGTAGTAAACAGCAGTTTTCAGTTGTTTCCGTTCAAGACGCTCGGCTTACGACAAAGGTCGGATGCGAAACGAGAAAAACGAGGAGCTTTTTCCGGGTGTATTGAACAAAGTGAGAATTCTGTTCCGAAGACTTGAATGTTTCTCTATGAGAACATTATTCTCTCATTACAAAGTGTGCATTGCAATATATTAGTAGACAGTCGGATCGCCCAGCTCAGGGCACATCGTTGGTTGGGGAATCCCCAACAGGGGGGTCGTATTTGGCCGCCAGGAGAGGGGGGTCGTAGTGAGTGCGGCAGCCAGTAACGAGCAGCGCAAATTGTCAATGTGCTGAGTCCTGTACAACGAAACTTGCTTTGTAGAGAACTCGGATATGCAAAAAATAGTACAAAACTTTCATTCATCAAACTATCCGAAATAACTGCAAATATTAATAAGTCGACATTATCTCGTAAGTCCGTTGGTGACTAAACAGTACAACTCAAACTCTGGTTCGCTGCCAATGATATGGCGTGTCCGCGGTCGCGCTGGGCTGAGCCAACCTGTTTTTTTCTCGACAAGCGACAGGACTACCATATCGTTCATATCAGACGTTTTCCAGCAGTTGGTCTCCTTTATCGGAGTCAGCGATTGGCGGAGCACGAATCTGGCAGCGTTGACAGGGACATGTTCCATCATACGCAACGGAAAACACTGTAAACAAGTGCACAGGCTCGCCATGGACCTCCCTGAACCTTATAGACACATTTGCTCGCGTGAACAGACATTACGCACAAGTTGCACCATCCATCAAGCCTCATGCGCCGCCTCTAGTGGCGCGGCGCATCCAAAGTTGGCGTGATCGGCGCTAAACGAACATATCCTGCTCCTGCTCTACCACAGGATACGTTCTACATGCGTTCCTGGCTATTCGAACACGCTTATTTGAAACGGTACACAGGAAACGGGTTTTTCGCGCAGCAAGCAGCGGAGTGTGTTCCTCAAGAAATCCCCATAGCGAGATCTCATGAATCCCGAGAGCTTCAGAAACAGTTCAAGAGGTTTTTAGAAAGAGAAAATCTTCAAACACTCGAAACCATTCTCAGATTTGTGAAATGTTGAGTTACAAAAAAAAATATATTGATTCAAACCTGTTCGGTTGAAATCACTCCCCAACGAATCCCTATGGCAGATTTCTCTGTGATTTTTGCGAAAAAAGTTCATAAACGTTTTAGTACTTTTAGGAAGTGCAAACCTTCCTCTACACGAGTACGGTCTCCTCTTCCCCACAGGTCCGCTTTTGAGGAAGTTATGGTCCTTCAAAGACACCTACCTCAGCTGGAAATTCTCGCTCCATGGCTAAAATTGCCGAATAATCTCCAGTCACAGCTGCAATTACATGCGCATTCTGCTACCGTACTCCACATAATCGGGGTAATGCATTTTTACGGCGGTTTGTTAACTGTTACGTAGTGAGACAAGCCTAACTTTCTCTTTTCCTCGTCCTCAATCTTGGGAATAGACGTTGTTAACACTGTGGTCGCTGATGGCCGCTCCCAGAGAGGGAGTCCACCTCAGGTTAACGAATGCTCATTGAATTTAATCGCGATACATCGTTATTATTACCATGTGTGTTTCAAAACGGCCATCGAAGAAGTTCATCATACGAGTTTCTCATAATACGATTGTACCGTTTTTGTTTGCAATCATCTCTGTATTGTTCTATTATGTCATGACTTCAAGTCGTCCATTTAGTATGGGCACCTTCATACAAGTAGAATTTCATAGTGGGCGTTTCATAGTTTCATTTAAGGCGAAAAAAACCGAACGGCAAAAAAGGGGGGGGTCGTACCGAACCCCCAAAAAAGGGGGGGGTCGTACAGGCTCGACCAAAATCCCCATCGAATGCTGTGCCCTGGCCCAGCTGTCGCTGGGCGCTCCTCCTTCTGTGACATTGCACGGCTTCGCCGGCCATGCGGATTTGCCGCGTGCTAAGTTACGGATCGTTGACCAACCACACTGTTCAAAGGAATCTTCTGCATCAGCCAAGAACTGCAGCGCTCGTTCCGTCAAGATGCAGAAGCAACAGCAGCGCCCGCCGCATCACAGAAGGGGGAGAGCCGGCCTTAGCCAGCGAGCCGACCTTAGCCGAAGCACGGTTGCCGTTTGCTGTGGAGAAGCGAAGGTGATAGACTCTGAGACTGCCCGGGACTACCTGCATAACAGAGATCCTTCTTGGAAGGAGGTTCTCGATTGAGTGACCAGGTCCTCGGTCTCTCCTGATTACGCGTAATCGATGGTCTGGGAGGGCCAAAATCGAATTTTGAAGACCAACTGGCTCCCACACCAGAGACTGAGGGGGCGTACGATGAGATGAGTGTCAGCTTCCTAGCAGTAGATTGTATTGCAGCCTCATTACAAGCAGAAGCGTATTTGACGAAAAGTGGGCCTCTCACTCAGCCAGCAGGCACGGTCTGCCGTTGCAAAGTGCGACCACACCTCGTAATTTCCTGCTCTAGAACGAACCTCCCCCTCATTGTCTATCTCGCGACACTACCTGCCTCCCTCCCGAGCTCTTGCATTTCCCTCCTTTATTCGGAGCTTTTTGAAGAAGCACACAAAAACTACCGCCAGGGTTTGGAGGGCGGTGTACAGCGCCAGGGAAACGGAAAAAATAAGGAAAAGTCAACAATCAGGAACATAGATAGAACTTTGGAATTTTTAATGGATTTCTCATCAGAAACGACCGTCAGATGGTGTTCACTGGCATCTAATTCGTATCATAGGGAACTACTTCTTCGTTACTGCCTTTATTTCATGCAACTTTCGATCTTCTAGCTGTGCTACTCATACGCTATGTTTTTTGATACGAATTATCGTGAGTTATTCCTTGGAATTTTCGTTCAAATGAAGCTTGTCCTAATTAATATCACATTTCAGCCTTGCGCTCTTTGTCTGATGCTGATGTTCCATGTCGTTCCGTGGCTCTCGAGTTTGCCGAACCTGCGGTATGCTTATCATCCAGTCTCATTTCAGATACTGTTCGGCTTGAGAGGCGCACTTTGCATTCCAGTGGTTTATTTTGCTTGTCCATGTGAAGTGAAATAGTACAGAACGGCCCTTATTTGTGAGAAGAATTTACAGGAATTCGCCAGGTGGCTTGCATAGCTTTCGCTGAGTACCATTTAGTGCCGTCACCAAGCCGAACTGCTTTCTTTTTCATTTCAATACAACTTCAAGTGACACGCTCAGAACCTACAGGGAAGTGTGCGGACCACGCCCTATGGTCTCCAAGTCGGATCTAGATTTTTGGACAGGTTGTCGTTGTTACGAGGGGCGGGCATCACTGTGGGAAAACAGGCACTCGCCAGTCGAGTGAGTCCAGATCAGGGCACCTCGTTGTTGGAGATTCTCCAAGAGGGAAGGGGCCGTATTTGGGCTGAGAGAAAAAATTCTTTTGATAGGTGATTTTTCTTGCTTCAGAGACATTGTGAAGCGGGGAGGGCCGTGTTTGGTCGTTTTTAGGAGGGATGGGGGGGGGGTATTGCCCTTCTGACCCTCTGAGGGAGGTTGCTGCTGCTCTTCGTTTTTATTGTTTCATATGTATTACGTCCCCTCCCCCTCCTCCCACCGTGCTCGACAACAGGGGCGTATCAGCGGGGGGGGTTGGCACGGACTTGAGCAAGATCCCCACCTAATGATGTGCATTGGTCCAGATACTGCTGTATTTTCACATCGAATGTGCAAATCTTATATGTATTTTGTGCATGTGACGTCACTTGCAGGGTGTCGTGTGGGAGTATTGCGGATCTCTCGACCAGCAATCCCCCCCCCTGTGGGCCCATCAAACAGCTAAGCGCCGTGACTGCGCGTCTTTGAGGTCTTGCTGCATTCTAAGTGTAGATCTTCAACCAAAAATCAGTGCTGAATAATTCCAGCGTCTTGGATTCTTGAAGAATCTACTTCTGGCTGGGTTGATTTTATATGCAGTGCTTCTCATTTATTCAGGTTTCTATATCGGTGGGTAAGTTCAGATTTTATCATCGAATCATGGAAAGGAGGGTTTCTGTAAATTGATGGTGTACTCTTTCCATGCTTAGCTAGTACTGTGGTGAAAGGGCATGTCGTGGAATAGCGTCCTGGGTCTTGGCCTTTGTGGAAAACGCTTCTAGTTGTCAGTTTTAATTTTTTTTTCGTTTCATGCGCACCATCTTCCCGGCTTCCTATCCTTGCGCTCTGTGATGAGTTCTTGGGATGGAATTATCAACGAGATGTGAAAAATGCCATCATGCAAATACAACCCCTCAAGAACGAGGATCTTGGCGCAACCGCCCCTCCCTCCCCCTCCCCTCCTGCATGATCCGCTACGGATTTCGCACCTTTCTCTACTATCCCTCTGGTTCCTGGCGTGTGAGACGGACATGTTGCTCTTTGGAACTAAATTAACAAAGGCAACAGTATTTTGAGCACTGGTCGGTTTGAAGGGGCATTTCGCACTCTCGCTAGTTCTTTTTGTTGATTTATGTTAGCAAACAGGTCTCATTCGAGTCAGACCTGTAAACTCTTGTGAAACTGAGCAACTGTTTGAGTGAGCTACATCGCTCACAGGAACTTGCAAGTCTCCAGAAAGTGGCCCTTTGCGAGCATAGTTGAGGACCATTCGGTGCCCCCCCCCAAGCTGAACTACGCCAAATTTAGTCTTGCGATGACATGATTAATAAGCAAGTATGTTTTAGAGGAATCAGATATTATTCAGAAAACAGTGAGCCTTCGGCAGGGCGTTTTTCCAGGAATTTTGAGTCGTTGAGCTGTGTCATTTCGTGGTCCCATTCCAGGCACTGCACTGCTACCTGATCACAGAATTGGTAACTGTCTCCAACAGTTGGATGCTATCACGACTATGTTGGAGTAGCTTGGCTTACGTCTCCAAAATGGATACTGGCTCGACAGGTAAGAATAGTGAGCACGCCGATTCAGTTTGCCGGATAACCCACTGAAGCAAGAACTATCAACTTTTTAGGTCGTGATCCCGTTGGACGAATGGCATGAGTTCTGCGCGCGAATTATGGGAGCGCTTTTCTTAGGAACGTATGCAGGGGGGCAAAAAAAGACTTTTTCTTCCTTGACATTCGAGGCGTTGTAAGTTACACTTTATTAAATTCTTATCGGATATTTTCACCACCATATTAAAGAGCATATTAAATACTATCATGATACTCCGCCACAGCCTTCTGGAGGAGCGCCATCGAGAGATTCTGCCACGCGACCGTGAGTGGGTGCCTGAGATCAGCGAGATAGTCGATTTCTCCGCCACCGTAGACCACCCTATTGAACTCCGCCCGAACCCAGATGACCTGCTTGAATATTCCACCTTCCTTCAGGTACTCAACGCCCCTTCCATTCCAAGTAGGCGAGAGTTTCTCCAACGCCCTTCGATTTCATGTGGTGGCACCCAATGCTGTAGCAGTACAAAGTTTCCAAGAAGGTACGGGCGATGTGGGGAGGATATTCTTCTCGAGTTGCTCGATGTAACCGCCAGCGCTCACCTTCAGTCCGGGCCCACGAAGAAAATATCGGTCTCTCCATTCCAGGTACGTCCGGTCCCCACCATCAACTGGCGCCTTGGCGACTGAGGTGAAGATGATGTCCTAGACCGTAGCGACGTTGACGGAGCTGCTCGATGATGGAGGTCTTCCAGATCGAGAGTACTGGTCTCCAGGTAGCTATCCATGGGTGACTCCATACTAGAAGTTTCGCAGCTGTTTGGAGGTGACATGAATTCCAAAGGTCTTCTCCAGTCAGGCTGCGACTGGAGATGACTTCATATGGTGTACATGAAGGTGATGGGCGAGAGCCAGCTCCTGCTTATAGAGGAACATCTTGGGTATCTTCCGCCCTGGTACTCGTATCCACGTCTCTCTGGGCTGCGAAAACTTTGCTGATATGTGACTCGGTCGAAATGTCTTTTTTTTGCCCCCCCTGTATAGCACCCTCCCACGCCCTTCAATGGAGTAATATGAGGGATCGAATGGTGGCTGTCGACGCTCGAATCATTGTGAGTCCCCGCTCAGAACGTCTTCACATTTGTTCCCCTATCAAACCAGTTGCCATTTTAGGCTTGCCTCGGAATAATTTCTGCTCAGCTCTGGTCACAAAGTGCCTACCCCGACTTCTGGTCTAGAGGACATTGGATCGGCATCACATTGTCGGCCACCTGGTGTTTGGTCTCCATCGCCTATCGCATTGCACTCTTCTACACTACTAAAATAAAAACAGTGTGATGTTGATAAAGTTCATTACTGTTAGCTGTACTATAAAGGCTGTTTGACTGTTTTTTTTTCTGCTGAAGGCGCTCAACGTGGGCATTACCATTTTCGACACTTTCACAACCGTAGAAAGTTAAGAGTTCATCACTGATACTTTGTCTGTGCACATTATTCAGATAGGCTGCGTTCACACTTTGTGGCAGCATCCACCAGCAACCATCAACAATTCGAGCGTCCGTAAGCGTCAGCGACTAAGAAAGTATAGACCTAGAGAAAGGCAGCGTCTGCCATCGTCTACCAGTGCCCACCAGCGACTGTTTGCGTCATGAGGGACTAGGAAAGGATAGGTATCGATCTAGCGTCCACCAGCGTTCACGGAGTAGAGAGTGTGAGGAAGTAGGAGAGAGTAGACAGCGGATTAGGCGTCGTGAAATTGTGAAGTGTACAACCGCACCGTACTGCTACACAATACCGTGGTCCTGGTCGCTGGTGGACGCTGGCGGACGCTGATAGACGCTAGATCAATATCCATACTTTCTTAGTCCTTCGAGACGCTGCTGGTTGATGGCGGACGCTGGTAGACGCTACTGATAGACGCTGTCGCGAAGAATGAACGCACCCTTAAAGGTACGGTCCGCGATCAGGTATAGAAGTTGAAAATACGGCGTTGGAGGGTAGTGTGGTCCACGACGAACAACCTTGTACCGGTTTCGCGGCAAAAAATTGTAAGGGAGGGGCGCTATAGCGCAATATAGGTTCAGTGACGCCTCCTTTTTCCCAGTGACTCCGCCTCCAGACTCCGCCTTCAAGGCCCGTCTTTCAGTGAAAAACGAAGCTGCAGGAAGAAGAAGCATGAAAATCGTCATTTGTACGGTCGTAGAGTTCTCATCGAAGAGTCAGCTGTGCGGATGGGGGTGCAGTGTTGGAGATGGGGTTAATTGGGCACGTACAAACTGGGATCAAAATGGGGTTCTATCTAGGGCAGTTGACATGTTTTTATCTGCTTTTTTTCTTCACTACCGAGTTACTCAAGCTCTCTACTGTATAGGCAAACCCCTAATCCACTATCTATTATATCGAATAACCGCGGGCTCTGCCTTCAAAGCTGACCATCCGTTGTGTAACGTTTGCAAGTTTGCAGGAGAACGCAGATCGCACAACACCGGCCATGGGCTCACATTGTCAGCATCGCGCCATGCATCCCACCTTCATACAGAGTTTTTGGAAGGGTGCAACACCTGGACAGGCTTCTGCATGCCTGTAGATGTACTCCCACAGCTCTGAAAGTTTCGAGCGTGAAGTGTAATTGTGTATTAATTAATCGATGACGTCTCTGTGAGTGGCCACTATCCTTCTTGTCACCGCCAGTCCCACTTTCTGAGCATGCAGCTTGCTTCGGCCCTCAAGTGTCTACTCAAATGCTTTTCACAACAAGCACCCTGAATAAAGCTTTTATCATTCAACGACTGCATATCACTTAGTATCCCGCTATTCTCACATCTGAATGAGCTCTGCGCCTATTAGGCTGCGTTTATACTTTGCGGCAGCGTAGCGTAGCGCTTCCAGCGTACGCCAGCGGCAGTGTCGGGGAAAGGATAGATATCGATCTAGCTGTTTAGAGTTCGGTATCACCTGAAGAGCTACCTGGACAACCCGGTTCAGATAGCGTGGATAGTACAGGCCAAGATGTACTTTTGGCACATGAGCTGAGCTATGCCCCTCCCGTAGTGGGAGTGGCTTGAGCCTAAAATAAACGAAACTGGGTGACGGCTGCCATGAAAGGAAGGATTAGATTGTCGTAAGCCAGTTCGGATATCCTTACTTCCACATAACCTCACCCAAGTGAGCGACCGTATAAGGTCTACTCGTATACTAAAGTCGGTCAAAAAAATGTGAAGCCCATGGATCACATTACTAGTGAGAAAGACTTGCAATTTCGTAGTTTGTGGTCCAAAACCGAGGGTGAGCTCGGTGAAGTACTATTCTGGCCAGTTCGGCCCAGGGCTTTAGGTGGCACTCAGTTAACTTTGAGCAGTCCACTTCGTAAGGACATCCATATTGCTGTAACCAAAATGGCTTACTTTAACGATTTCGCAACTTCACAAGAGCTTTACAGGTCTGACCAAAGTGCGACTTGTTGGTTGACACGAACCAACTAGAGAAATTGATGTAAGGCCCCTTCAAATCGAACAGCGCTCATTTTCGACAAGTGTTAGTAGTTAGCACAGAAGTCCTGTCAGTAAGAGGTACCATATATACAGGGGGGGGGCCAAAAAAAAGTCATTCCGGCCGAGTCACATATGAGCGAAGTTTTCGCAGCCCAGACAGAGGAAGTGGATATGAGTACCAGGGCGGAAGATACCCAAGATCTTCCTCTATAAGCAGGAGCCGGCTGCCGCCATTCAGAATATTAACTGTCCTCTGAGCGATCATCCGCGGCCCGCTCAGGGAAAGGCTATGATTGCCTCCTCCCTCCCTCTTCTACCAATAATGATCATTTGGGACTGATTTAGAAAGAAAACATCCGGTGGTGAAAAAACCTTTGGTGGGCTTATTCCATGCCTCTTGACTCCGTGACTCCGTGACTGATAGCGATGAGCCAGGACGCGCCTTTTCACTGAGGGCCCCAACGTGCGCCTTTTTTTCGCAGACCCTCGCTCGCTGCGCGATCCCCAGCGAGGAGGACCGCAATTGTTGCTAAAGCGGCGGGGTGCGAAGCGATGGCATTCGCCATTCAGTTTAACAGCAGAACTGCCGCGCCAGAAGTTAGGAAAAGTAAAAAAAAACCCACATCTCCACGCGGTCGACATTCTGACAAATTCGACAGCTATCGAATATTCAGCTAAACTCCAGGCAAGATACAGTCCTCACCATTACGTAACTGTCGGGGCGGTTCAATGTGGCTGCGTTTGGCGCTGTGCCAAACCCGCTCTCCACCAGTATTTAAAGCGATGGGGCGGAGAATGGATGATGACTGGAGTAGATGCCGGTTCATATTTACTCTTTTCTACCACTTTTGTCGCGATACCGCGTGTTTGCAATCAAAAAGGCATAGAACGGCTCAACATGGTGCACAGCTCATACGGGCTGACAGCGCCCCTACCGGGCCGCAATGATGAAGAGACTGATACGTGATGTTGGAGAAGTGGCGCAGATAAAAGCCGGACGTAACCCAGGAGGTCGCTCAGCGCGCTGCCCCCGCTTGTTATTTCGGAACTGTTTAGTTCCACTCTGTAGGCCGTGCCTATAAAACCATTAAAAGGTGGGCTTCGTTGTTTGCTGTGCGGCGGCTCCGAGGAACGCAAAAAGGGCCGGCGAAGAAGAAACCGTATGCGAACACTGAATGTGTTTTTGAGCCTCTACGAGCTGTAAACCGCTTGAAACTTTGACCAGTTGCTGAATGGAGGGACCCTATAAAGGTACTATCGGAATCGAAGAGAAAAGTAGCCGGTATGAGGATGTTACTTACTGGGCACGTCATCAGAGTGGAGAACGCTCATGGAATCGTTTTCTTCAACGATGGAGGATGGGATCAGCCCACCAACGATGCAGATGCCTAGTGGATAGCGGTGAAGGAATCCAAACGGACAGTTGGGGGGGGTTGATTCGTTCGACTCCCTCGGCCGCGCGAGCTTTTTGCATTTTATGTTTCTGCGTTTTCGCGTTCAAACTATGTCTTGTGCGTGAGTATGCGTTTCGAATAACCTGCATTTATGGGGCAGATTTAAATGGGATCCATTGAATCCAGTGCTACCTCAATTATTTACAGTTATTAACATAACCATTAAGCAAGACCTAATGAAAGTTGCCTTTATAGGCAGGACCATGGCCCGAATCACAAAATGGGAAACTTATTTGTAGCTACTCCGTCGTGCCATTATCGCTAATATGGAGTGACATGCTTCACCCAATGAATTCGTTTGCTACACACAAATAAGGGATGTGTAACGCTACCCAGGCGCCAAGTTACGTCGGCCGCAAAATAAGTGTGAAAATCATGATCGGGGCCATCGATTACCCCTGTAAACAATCTTTCAGCCAAAAAAATTTTTTCGACTTTTTTGGGTGTGTGCGTTGGGTTGTGCCCGACAGTCTTTCCATAGAAGTCTACAGTGCCTCGCCATAGGGACCCCTTATTTTATTAATATCCAAAAATAAATAATATGCCGATAAAATTCATGCAAAGTGGAAAGGAAGGGATGCATTCCACCAGGTTTGCTGTCCTGCCCGGCGGCCTGCTACGTCGTCGTTCCATCATCGTCTTTACAAAGATGGGATACTCCGGTCACCACTGCCGACCAAATGGTCCACCAAAACCCAAAAAATCGAAAAAACTTTTTTTGGCTAGAAGTTCGTCCATAAGGGTAGTCGATGGTCCTGATTACGATTTTGACACTTATTTTCGACGTCGACGCAATTTGGCGCCAGTATAGCGCTTAACGTCCCTCATATGGGGGTACATAGACGTACCTTTCGCTCCTTTTTTGGCGTTCCTGGAGCCGCACAGCAAAAAAACGAAGCCCACTTTTATGGTTTATGGGCAAGGCCCTACAAAGTGCAGTAAACCGTTTCGAAAAAGCGGGGCACGCCCTGAACGACCTCCCTTGTAAGAGAAATGAGTTACGAAAAGGCTAGTAGTTCGTCCGCAAAAAGCCCTAATACGGTGCTGTCAACGGTTGCGCTCGACGCACGTCTCATGACGACCTTTGAAAAAATTTGTTTTTTCTATTCACGAAGCAATGCGAATAACAGCATTTAATCACAAAAACTTGGGTGGTTTCGAAACGAAACGACTTGCACTATTTTACAGTGGAGCCAACACCGGAATATTGATGGAAACTTCTTGACTAATTGGTCAGTCGGTTACATAGAAAGATAGTAAGCAGTCATTGGAGCCAAAAAAAAGTCATTTTTGCTCCATGACTTTCAAGGCGCTATAAGTTACACTTTATTAAATTTTTATCGGACATTTTTACTACCATATTAAAGAGCACATTAAATACTATAACGATACT